AACAGTACCGACACTGCTAAGCATACAGATAATGAAACACTGAGCAAAACAATACATGATGGTATCACGGGTCCTTGCTCCAGGTTTCCTGATTCAATCCTGGGCTCCGCGGGTTAATGTCTGTGCTGCGTTTCGCATGTCCTCCTTGGGTTTGTGTGCATTTCCTCCAGGTTCTCTGGTTCCTGACACCTTCTGAAAAATCTTACCAGTAAGTGAATTGCTCCTACGTGTGAATGTGTGTATCCCATCCAGGGTGTGTTCTGGCCTTACGTTCAGTGCCCCCTAACCAGGATACAGATGAATCAATGAACATATAATGATATATTTTGGTGGATCTATACTACTGTGCACTCTCAGTTCATTAAAGTGATTAGATATACACGGTTTAGTAGATGAATTATCCAAAGTGACCACAGAATGCAATTCAAACATAGAGCTGAACAATTGCAGATTGTGGGCTTTAATTGAAAATAATAATAATCATAATAAATTCCAGTATCCCAAATAATAAGTAATACCATGGCCAGAAAAGAGAGCATAACTTGCCCTGCTCTCTTGGTAAAAAAAAAACAAATAACAACAACAACAAAAAACATCTTCTCTACTGTATCAAACAGAAAGACAGCAGTTATAAGTTTCTGAAAAACGCAGTTAACAATTTCCTCTTAGCGTGTTTATCAGGCCTGTGAGGCAACATGGGCTGTAGGAAGGACGTGATGAAGCCTACGCCAATCCCTGAGAGGCAGCTTTCATGCTGTAGGGCAGAACTAGTTAATGAGTGGGAATTGGCAATGACCGAAGTGGGGGTAAAAACCCCAAATAAGCATTTAAACAAACAAACCAATCTCAAAGACTATCCTCTATCTGCCCATCCACAGACCCTTAATTGCCGAACCACCGTTTACCCTGATTAAAGCTAGACAAATGATTCGGTTACATTTGGAGGCTGTTTTTAGCTAGAGTCTGTGCTTAGGGCTTCACTAACAACAGCCCTAATTACCAGTTCAACATGTGCACTTACAAGTTCACACGTTACCCAAAACTACCAAATGATAAAGGTAGAAGATAATGGGTGGAAAAAATACATTTTTCTGTGCCAGAACATCTGGTACTGCATTGAATCTCAAAAAGCCAGTTTATATCTATCAATAACACTGAGAGCTTCATGTATTAATAATGAATCAGAACCTGTGCCTTTAGTTTCGGCTTCAAATTAGTTTGCACAAGTTTTACCCAAGCCAAACAGTCCAGTCTTAATTATTCAACTGCCTAGAAAAAGAAAAAGAAAAAGAAAAAAGAATGTAACACTTTTGAGTGAAGTTCTCATTGTGGGTTTGGGTAAGAGGAAAATCAAATATTTATAAGCACACAATCCTTTCAATTATTTCCCTGACACTTTAATAAGAGAAAAAAAATGTCCTAAATGAAATTGAGCATTTTTAATGCATTTTAATACAATGTTCTAAAACAATATGCCTGTTTCAATTATTAAAACTAGACAGGGGCATTATACATGCATGCTGCAAAAGATTCTCCAAAAAACTTCAGCCTGACAGTGCTATCTGCCTAAAACCTTCATATGAATGCTTTTTAGCAATTAACATAGAAGAAAAGGGAAAAAGAATTGCTTATGTTTTTGTATGTATGCTGTAATAGTGGACCTGGTAGCTCAGAGCTACTGAGTTCGACTTAATGCAAGAGAATGCTAATTAAAATGGCATTTAAATAGGAGAAAAAACTAATTCACCAATCTCAAACAGAAGCGATAACTGTTGGGTTTTGCTGTTCGCGCCCAAAGAGTCATGAGAAATTCAATGCCGGAGAAGTGGAGCCAGCAAATGTTGGACACAAAATTCCAGAATGCAATGCAGCAATACAACGACACGGTCGTGCCTAGTAACAGCAGAGACGGTGTTATGGCAGTATTCGCTTGAAATCTGATGATCTGTTTGAGCAGATGAGGAGGCGAGAGAGCTGGACAGTCGAAAAGGTTAAAGCTCTGCCGCATCACTCTTTTTTAGGTAGAGATGAAGCAAGGGCTAAATCCCACTGGCGTCACCAATGATCAGGTAGCCGAATGGCATTGACCGGGCAATGCAGGACAGCAGATTCAGAATAAATCAACAAGTCGAGGAATTAAATTTGAATGAAATAACGTGTACTCGGTATAGTATACTTTAGTATTTCAATACAAAATAAATCCTGGACGCCACTAAAGATCACATACTTCCATCCATGCATCCATCCATTCATCCATCCATCCATTTCCCATACGTAGGGTCACAGGGAGCCTGAAGACTATCCCAAGGAACTCAGGGTACAAAGTGAAGGACATCCTGGACTGGATGCCAACCATACAATCGCACACATTCACACACTACAGACAATTTGGTAATGCCAATCAGCCTACAAAGCTTGTCTTTGAACTGGCGGAGGAAACTGGAGTACCCGGAGGAAACCCCCAAAGCACGGGGAGAACGTGCAAACTTCGTACATAGAGGGTGGATGCGGGATTCTTACCCCCATAGCGATAACAACCAATATATCGATAAGTCATTGAGAGTGGATTTTTCCTTTGATGATGAGAAGACATACAGTATTCTTTGCTGTATTCAGAAATCTCAACCACAGAGAGGGAAAGGAAGGAACGACGTGTAGGAAGACTATCTTTTTTTTCATATGAAAATCAAATGACAGTGTGGCTTCTAACGTGCATTCCATCTCTCTTTTATAGACATGTAAGGGTTACATGTGATTTCCCTGATTAGACTAGTAGCCGTCCGATTTTACACGCATCTTAAAAGATTGCAAGATTTGAGATTCATCTGTAATTCATACATCCTACCTTACTCCACACATCCTCCTCCTCGTCTTCCTCCTCATCCACAGAAGCCACTTTTTGTCTACACCTGGTTGAATAAACCTTTCTGTCACGCATCTTAGTGCCACATGAGGCAGAACGTAAAGAATCAAAGCTCCACAGGAATGAACTGTGATCCTACATTGCTAGTTCAGTCAACTAGAAGATTACCGAACATTATCTCTGTCGAGCGGAAGATTATCATTTTAATAAGAGATGCTGCATTCTGGAAATAAGAATAGAATAAGGTTTTTGCAATGCACTTTCATATGCATAAAGTACATATTGTATACAAGTAGTAGCAGTACAGTAGTGTAGCATAAGTCTTTCAAAGAATTTGTACACCACGTTTTCTTCGATCACACATCATTCAGGAATATGTTGACTCTTCTAGAGATAAAGCAGCGATGTCTTCAGGCTAAAAGACTCTCACGCAAAGTTGTTCTTTGTTTAAAGTTATTCTTTGCTGTGGATTTCAAGCCCCGTCAAGGTAATCATTTTTAAATCTTACCTGCCTAAAGATAGCCCGGTTGTCGCCATGACAACAGCCTCCCACATCACTTCTTGCTAAGAAAATTGGGAGGAAAGCGCAGGTGCCGGCATCTGTATTCCCCCTTCCAATCTTATTAGAGACGATGTGCATGCACGCTTGGTCCGTCTTCATAAAGCTGTCAATTAACGCACAGAGTCAGCACAACTCTGGCTATCAGTGCGTGTCCTCCAGATGGGCCAGATACCAATAAGACATGCTTGGAGAAAAATTGAATTTTGTCTCTATTTTTATTTTTATTTTTTGAAGAAACATGACAGGAAATAGGGGGGTTAGGACATACAATTTAAATAAGATTTCATTCAGAAAAGGGCCTTGCTCAGAAAAAATGTATAGTTGCTATAGTACAGATGAACAACTATATAACATGTTAGCTATTTACTCACAATATCACAAATGTCTTGCCATCAGTTCTCTCTGGTTGTCTCTTAAACCCCTGTATAGGTCATGTATCATCTACAGTATGGATAAACTGTACATGTTCGGGTTTATATTATTTGGACACTACCTTATGTAGTTCACTGAGCTCTGTATAATAAACAGGCATGGCCAAAGACATTGCCATGTTAAGGACAATTTATTATTAGTGTTCATGGGTTAGACACTGATGAATACGTGTGTTATCAACATTAATATAATGAAAAATGTATCAAATTGAGTTTCTATCCCAAGGATTTGATTTAACAGACAACCAAGCCTTAACCAGAATGACCAAGCATTAAGATTTCAGTACTATTTGTTGGAGACAATATAAATAAATAATTCATGGTTCATGAAATTGTACTGAAGTGAACAGAATTGAATGATCTGGACATATTCATATACCATCATTATAAAAAAAAAAGTGCTGAGGGACACCATTCTCCAAGACCATTCCATATTCTCTTTATGTAATCTGCAGGGTTTCATTACCATGCACAGGCATGTGTTGGTAATGAACTCTCCACACACGACTAGTTACTTGCCTTCCTCATGACTCCACAGCGGTACTTCATGCTACATATCTTGTCCAGCGTGTGGCCTCGTCGTCAGTTCTGCTATAAGGGAACTGCATGTTAATGGGTGTGGTGAGATGTTTTTTTTTTTCTTTGACCCAGTCTTACTTCTTCAGAATCAATCTTTTAGGTCCTGCTGGGTTATAATTTGAGAGTAGTAGCAATGCTGAGGATGGGGGTGTTGCAAAGGGTGTGAATTTGCAAGGTTTCATGAGAGTGGGGTGCAAATGGGCTGCCAGAATCACCACAATCATTATATTTGCCATAAAAGGAGATCCCACATGACCTCTCATACGTTCTATACGTTGAATGTTTTTTTTTTTTTTTTACAGAACAATGTCCATGAAACAAAGATACATCCATCTTCTACTGCTTACTCCTTTTCAGGGTCTCGGGGAACCTGGAGCCTATCCCAGGAAGCATCGGGCACAAGGCGGGGTATAACCTGGACAGGGTGCCAGTCCATCGCAGTTCACAATCACATACATTCACACACCAATCAGCCTACCATGCATGTCTTTGGACTGGGAGAGGAAACTGGAGTACCCGGAGGAAACCCCCACAGCACGGGGAGAACATGTAAACTCCACACACACGGCCCGGGCGGGACTTGAACCCCGGACCCTGGAGGTGTGAGGTGAACATACTAACCATTAAGCCACCGTGCATTAATATTATTATTATTTAAAAGAAGTGTTAGGCAAGATTTGCCAACATTATCCTCACCTCAATTAGAAATTCCTATTCAGGAGATCAGAGTAGTTTTCTCAACTATGAGTTCCTCCAAGATCAGGGATTGACGTTAAATCAACATGGCTGCACACAACATCAGGAGTGAATAAAGTAGCACATTTTTTCTTTAAATAAGTTATACTGCATGTACACACATTAGCTTTAGATCAATCAGCAAACATAAAGACATATTCACTTGTTAAATCGAAAACGTATACATGAGTGTACAGTTCGTTGTATAATCTCCACACTCGCTGTAAAATCATGAGTACGGTATATAGTTCGCTGTATAATCTCAACACTCGCTGTAAAATCATGAGTATACAGTTCACTGTTTTGAGGAGGAAAATATACTCACTCATCAAAGTTAACTAGCTAGCTTGTTGCTAGCAAAAGACAAACATTAAAAAAATAACACGATTCTGAACTTCAAGCTCATGTAGCAAAAGTTCTCTTAACCTGTTAAAGGTTAAACAGGTGAAGTTGAATAAAATTTGAATGATATTTTACTCGCCCATCCCCATGTACACAAAGCTCTGCCTCCAGAGCCTACAGCCGTTCAACTAGAGTTAGCATGTGAACTAAAGTTAGCATTTGCAAGGGCTGTCATGACATCATTTTCAAATGTGCTCGGCCATCGAGCTGCACATAAGCCAAGTTACAACATTATAAACATGCATCTTTCTACTGTCCTGCTTTTCTTTGCAGTGACATTTTGAGCTTGCATCATTAGCATTGTTAGCAATGTAAGCTACATGATAGGCTATTCAGCTGCAGGAAAGCCAAGCTGTACCACTATAAACATGAGAAACTGAGCTCATAACGATTTATAAGAATGGCCAAGAGCTTCCGCTGTCTTGTTTTCCTCTGTAATAATTTTTAAAAACCCACATCTACATGATTGCTTATGTGAATCAGGCCATTCAAACCGTTCAAAGCTTTATACAGATTATGTTTACACACCTATCCATGAACATGTCCTTCACCAGTGATAAATCACTCCATCATGGAAAAGCACAATGTGTTTATCAGTGTTTATTCTGGTTTTACCTGTTCTGATTTCTTGACCTTTTTTAAGCACAACATGTTTTCTTTTTGTATTTGCTCACAGGACAATTATCTAGCTGTGCTGGGTGCTCAAAGATTTCAGAATGAGTTGCCGGCAGGGTGAAGACATGTTGGGGAAATCTGTAAAATGACTGTCAAAGAGGCTGATCCAAACACAAACAAGTCTTCTGGACTTCAACACTGTTTTCCAAACAGGTTTTCTGAGCCGCATAATCAGTTTCGGATAAGTTACTCAGAAAAAGTAATCCACTAAAGATTTGTAATTGCTACTTTAGAACTGTAAGCTGATTACATTACTGATTACTGCGTGTATAAAGGAATCAGATTACAAATTACTTTACTTTCAAAACCTATCAAACCTACAAAAATACACTACAAAGTAAAATTAACACTAACACACAAAGTAACACTACAAAGTAAAATGTTAGCGTACATCAATGTGTGATATGATCAGAAAAAGTTGGATTTATCATAAAATTTGACTCAGGGTGTTGTCACTGTTTGTAGGACTACCAGACTGATAAAATATTAAACATTTCTAACTAGGCTAGTTCGGTGTCGCTAGCCAAGGGGAAGTACAGCTAAGCTATCATTGTATGGGTTTACCTGCTACAATGCTATGTAAAGTATATATATTATCTTTCCTTCTGCTCTGCTCATATCATGTTCACGTAAACTGGAACTCATATACACATTTACACACCTTGTTATCCTGCTCAGCATGAGAGGATGTCTCAGTTTCAACCCCTTTACTGGTTTAAAAAAAAATCAACGTATATTCATTTTTCATCACACTGACTGTGTAAGTTAGCGTTTGGCAGAATTGAGAGACTGTCAGCCAATAAGACATGTGTATTTCCACGTATTTTCCTGTAAACTCTTTCTGATTGGTCTCAACTCTGTTCACTGAGGATGTAAAATTACCGTCTTCTTTTACTGACGATCAGTTACGTAGTGACAAACTGCTCCAAGTGGAGAATTATTCAGGGCTAAAGAAAAATCTTCTAGACTACAGCCCCACATGCCCAGACCAGGTCACTCCCCTGGCAGTCATGCAAAACGTGATTTATTTAAAAAGGCATTTTACATAATATTGTTTTCTTAACAATAACTTTGTAATGTAATTTTATTGACATCAGTAACTGTAATCAAATTGCATAAATTTAAACTGTAATGCATTACATTACTGTATTATCAGAAAAAGTAATTAGAATACAGTAACATAATACACTTGTGCTGAGGTCAATTATTTTTGATCATGTTTAAGGGAATTTCCAAGGATTATTTCTATTTGGTCAAGGAATAAATAAAGAAAATAGAATGTTGTACCTTTGAAACAGCCCTATATGTTGAGCTCTTCTTCTATACATAGCATTTTGTCACTAATGTTGAATGTGACTGTTGAAAGGGCAAATTGTCTGACGGATAATGAAGAGCGTTCATGCTCACTGAACTCTCCAATTCATTAATTAATTCAAGATAATGATCTGTGCCTTACCTTTCATAGTTCAGGATCGCAACATTGTCATTTGCTCAATTACTCGCTTTTAATGCGAGTGTTGGAAATCAGAGGTGACAGTTCAACGCGCTCTGATTGGCTACAATTAGCGCGATCCCATGTCTGGCTGTAATAGCAGCACCAAACATAGCATTTTCAGGTGAAATGGAGACAAAGCCATGGCAAGACATCATCCTTGACTGACAGCAACGCTTCCATTTTAATCGTAACAACTCGTTCTGGGTGACTCAACCGTTTCTTCTGATATTTGACCCTCCTTTGTCCTTGCTCATGCAGATACGCATGAACCCCCTCCTCTGCATTAACATACATAAATCTGTGGAGCAGATTTGTCCATTACAGCTGAGCATCCTTAGAGCAAGGCCTGAGGGTCCAGGGGCTAATAAACCATGCGCTGTCAAAGCAGCAGCGCATCATTATAAATTGTGCATGAACTCTATGTTTTAAACATTTTGACCGCATCCCCCCTCTCACACACATGCACAAACACTGGCATAGGCTCACAGCAGACCTGTCAGTCCCATTGTGAATAAAGTGTGTGCAGCATCTGCATACAGTATACTGAGGCTGGAGAAAAACAAGTATGTATAGGGTATGAGAGAGCGAGAAGGGTGTGATGGAGCCCATATTTATCAGGCAGAGGTATACTACTTTGGGAACTAGTTTGGTAATAAGGCCATTAGGGCTCTTGCTACTGCATATATATATATATATATATATATATATATATATATATATATATATATATATATATATATATATATATATATATATATAATGTTGTGTGTGTGTGTGTGTGTGTGTGTGTATGTGAATGTTGTGTGTACACAATCTGGAAATGTACTTGTCTGCACACCCCTTGTTAAAATTGCAGGTTTTTATGATGTAAAAAATATATATATTTCAACCAATTAAACCAAGATAAATCATATCAGATATTTTCTGACCAACAAAATTCAAGTGACAAACATATATAAAGAAAAGAAAAGGGAAAAACATGCAAAACCCTGGTTGCATTATTGTGCACACCCTTTTATAATGACCGTGGTCAGAACTGACCAATCACGTTCATACTTATGTTCAAACGTAATCATCATACGGCTGTGGTTCTGATTAACTCCAAATAATGCTCAGCTGTTTATGTAGGATTTTCTTGACATACTTTCTTCAGCATCCAACTGCTTACAAAGGATGTACGGGATCTCATTGTCAAAAGAGTATCGATAAGGGGAGGGGTACAAAAGAATTTCCAAAGCATTAGATGTACCATGGAAGACCATAAGGGCCATCAGAAACAAGTGCAGAAAAGAGTATCATGGTGACATTAACGAGAACAGGACGACCCGTCAAAATTTACAAAAGGACCAGACAAAAACTTTAAAGGAGGTGCAGGAATAACTGGTATGTACACAAATCAGTCCCTGAAAGTGACAATGATCTCTTGTATTGTTCAGGTCTGTACTATGGAGTCAAGTGGCTAGACGGATTCCCTTTCTGAAAAACAAATCTGCCTAAATCACCTGAAACCATGTTATGGTCTGCTGAGAACAAGGTAGAACTTTTTGGCCATAATTCTAAAAGAAAGTTTGGTCACAAAAACAACACAGCTTATGGCCCAAAGGACACTATCCCCACAGTAAAGCATGGTGGTGGCAGCATCATGCTATAGCACTGCTTCTCTTCAGCTGGGAATGGGGGCTCTAGTCAAGATAGAGAGGATAATGGTAGGTCTAAACACCAAACTATATTGGAAAAAACTTCCAGGCCTTTGTTAGACAGCTGAAAACGAAGAAAAAAGAAAACCTGACAACAATCCAAAGCACAAATCCAAGTAAACAAAGGAATGGCTTCAGAAGAAGATGTTTAGAAAATCAGGGTTTTGGAATGGCCCAGATCTAAATCCTATCAAAACCTGTGGAATGACTTGAAGAGGGCTGTGCACAGGAGATCCCCTTGTAATTTGATAGATCTGGAGCATTTTTGCAAGGAAGAGTGCGATAAAATTGCCAAATCAAGATGTACTAAGTCAGTAGACACATACTTAAAAAGACTGTGGGCTATATTACAAGCAAAAAAAACCAGGGGAGTGCATATTTGTGCAACCAGGTTACTGTAAGTTTTTCCTTTTTCTTTTTCCCTAAAACATTTATATCTGTTTTTCACTTGAATTTTGTTGGTTGCGTCTGACATAATTTACATCTCAAACAGCTCCCTAGGGCGTAAATCAGTACATGATGTATACAAGTTCGAGTACTGGTAAGGTCCCTGGCTCACCACACATTTGGGACGGAGGAGAAATGCTGGGGTGACCGTTCAGTTCAGCAATGCTACATTGTGATGTTCATCAAT